CTTCTTACGTGGCTCAGAACTCATCAGGCACTAATAAATATTTATTGTTAATAAAGAGATGGTGAAAACATTTTATAAACAGGTGATTAAGAATATGAAATAATTATCAGAAGATACTTATTTGTATGATGTTGATAAAGAATTTTAAGCAAACATTCCTCTTTAAAATGAGGCTTTCTTCCTTTGACTGGCAGGCTATTCCATAAACTAGTTGATGCATACAGGACTTTAAACTAAAGCAATGACATTACAAATTAGCAGCTTGAATTTTAGTACAAATATGGCACTTAAAATTATGTCAAATTGAAGTGCCCACTCTGTGAGGTACGCAGGATGAGGTGCTGGGGGTACAGCAGCAAACAAGACAGGTAAAAATCCCTGCCTAGTGGGGCTCACAGCTTAGTGGAAGGGGGCAGATGATACTCAAGTCAACGAGTAAAATAGATGGTACATCAGGTGGCAAGAAAGGCAACGGAAAACAAGTAAGTAGTGGAGAGGGATAGGGGATTCAGCCAGGGACAGAAGGGGGAGTGAAGTTTCAAAGAGAGTGATGGGGAGCACCCCCACCCCACCCCCGCCTTGCCCCACCCGGGAAAGGGACGTCCGAGCAGAGAGACCTGAAGGAGAAGGGATAAAGTGCTGCTGGGCCATGAGCATTCAGGAAGCAACTTGCTTTGAGCAATACGATTTAAAGGGTTGGGGATTGACTTCTGTACAGGCAATCCAGCCGCCGCATTCCTTGTCACTTTCAATTAACCGTGAGTACACCCAGCTAGCTCATCAAAGAGGCTCCCATGTCTCTCCCTTCTGGCAGCCAGGGACAGATACCCTCGGCGGTGCCAAAACTGCCACGCTGGACCAGCCGCCGCTGGAAGCAGAGGAGCAGCCCCGCCCCCTTCGCCTCGGCCTCCAGGGTGGAGGTGGGGGCGCTGTAACCCTTAGCCTTCCTCTCCCAGCAGCCCCATTCTCTCCCTGGTAAGTCTAAAGAGGCATTAAAGTTTGCTTGAAAGTTTCTTTTGTACCTGGTGAATCTGTCCTCTCTGAGTAAGGGCTCTCACCCTTACTCAGAAGCAAAATCACCACCTCTTAGAGTCACTTTTATAATTAACAATGTAATTTCCACCAGATTTAAAGGGTATTAGGATTTCATCATTGATATTAAGTCCTTGAAGCTGTCATATTTGGAGTGAGGCTGTTAAAAAAGAAATATTTCTAAATATTTGTTAATTGCTATGTGTGTATATATATATATATATATTAAATTATATCAGCATTTGTAGTTTCTGATCATCTACTCATGTTCCCACTGATGACTTGCTGACTTCCTGTCACGCCTGTTGATATAAAGCGCAGTGACAAGGAGGATACTATAATCTCCATTAGGACAGGATGATGTCTGTTTTTCTCACTGCTGTATCCCCAGTGCCTATCTTAGTGCCTGGCACATAGGAGACACTCAATAAATGCTGATGAAAAAAATGAATGACTTTAAAGAAGACAGCTTTGATACAGAGAGAAAATACTTTCATGCTAGAGTGGAAGGGGGTAGGTACAGAGACCACAACGTCTGAAGCAGGAGAGGCAAGATGGGACATGAGCTATGATTCTCCCTCTCTTGCCTCCAAGATACTGGGCACCCAAGTGAATGTGCATTTAATGCACAAGGGCAGGGCAGGGATGGGGAGATGAGTGTGAGAAAACCTCTAAAACAGGATCCCTTCCCCACCCCCTTAAGATGTTACATTACTTGGGTCAATTTACTTAGTCCCTTGGAGACTTGGTTTCATCATCTAGAAAATGGGTACAACAATCCTGACTTCACAGGGTTGCTATGAGAGCTAAGTAGGATAATGAATATAAAGCTCTCGACATAGAGCCTACTGCCATTAAAAAGTTATGACTCTCATTTACCAAGGTTTGAATCCCAGCTTTGTTGCTTAGAGCTGAATGGTGTTAAGAAAGTTACTGGAATCCCTCTGTTGCCACAATTTCCTCATCTGTGAAAAATAGGATAATAATGCTTATCTTGTGGTGTTACTCTGAGGATTAAATCAGTTAAAAAATGTAAACCACTTAGAACAGTATCTGGCATGCAAGCATTATTATTGTATGTGAGGCATTTTTCCTATATGTTTCCAACTTTGATCTTGTTAGGACTCAAACAACAGATTTGTTGATGTGATGATAGAGTTCTTGCTGGACAGGTTGGATCCTTGTCTCATTTCAACAGTAGTTCTCAAACTCAAGTTTGCACTGGACTCACCCTGAAGGCTTGCCAAAACACAGCTGTGGGGGCCCCACCCTCAGAGCTTCTAATTCAGAAAGTCTGAGTGGGGCTTGAGATTTTTTTATTTCTAACAAGTTCCCAGATGATGCTGATGCTTCTGGTCCAAAGATCACACTCTGAGAAGCACTGTGATATAAAGAAAGGATATCAGAAGCTCTAAGAGAAGAAGGAAAGATAGGTACATAGAGAGGAGTTCTGAAACAATCCCCAATTGCAATGAGTTATGGGCACTAGTAGAAAGAATAATTTGTTCATTTATTCATTCAACAGACATTTACTTACTGCCCAATGTGAGCAGGGCCCTGTATTCACTAACTGGTTTCCAGGACCAAGATTAAGCCAAGTAGAAACAACAGTGAGTTGGAGAAGACTGTCAACTTGCTGAATTAAAACAGCATCAAAGAAAGAAACCAGGTCCCCACTGGCCTAACTCAGGCATTATTTAGTGTGTGTATGTGTATCAGAATGTACACAAAATTGACCATTTTGACCATTTTTAAGTATACAGTTCATGGCATTAAGTACATTCATATGTTATACTAGCATCAACACCATCTATCTCCAGAACATTTTTCATCTTCCCTAATTGAAACTCCACACATGTTCATCAATAATTCTCTATTTCCCTTTCTCTCACATCTCCTGGCAACCACCATTCCACCTTCTATTTCTATAAACTTGATGATGAAGCTCATATAAGTGACATCAGACAGTATCTGTCATTTTGAGCCTACTTATTTCATTTAGCATAATGTCTTCAAGGGTCATCCATGTTATAGCATATGTCATAATGTCCTTTTTTAAAGGTGAATAATATTTCACTGTATATATGCACCACATTTTGTTTATCCATTCATCCACCAATGGATAGATTGCTTCTGCCTTTTGGCTGTCATTAATATTGCTGCTATGAACATGAGTGTACACATACCTGTTCAAGTCTCTGCTTTCAACTCTTTTTGGGAATATATTTCTAAGCATCATTTTAAAGCAGATAAATTTTGTTTGAGTAAATATTAAGATCACATTTCCCTTCTCCCACGCCCCCCTCCTTTTCCCTTCTTAGAACTTGATCCCTCCTGACACTCAGGTACCTAGATCTCTCAGCTGCCCCAATCTGATAAATCATTCACACCTCCAAGAACAAGGGGGATACATCTTAGTGCTCTTATGGGCTGAATGCATGCACGAATCTTCCTTTCTCTATAATGACAAACTTGCTGATACACTGTCCAAACACACCTATGCCAGGAGCATGTCCAGGACTATAAGGAAGACATTTAGTTACTGAAATCAGACATGTGATAGAGAAGCCTGACCTTACTACTTACTAGCCCTTTAGGCAAGGGATTTAATTTCTCAAGCTTCAATTTCCTGATCTGTGAAACAGGTGTAATAGTTTGGATCTACTTGGTTGCTGTGACAATTAAACTAAAATAAGGTAAACTAAGATAAACTAAGATAAGGTAAAGCACTTAACCAAGTGCCTGGCATATGGTAAGTACCCAACAAATACAGGCTGTATCTGAGTAATTCCTTCAGATACATGCCAAGACAGTTCCTGCCATCTAGATCCACAGAAAGACATTACAATGAGCATGGAATTAATGGTCCCACTTGGCCACAAGCCCAGATTCCTAAACACCGGACATTTTTTTTTTTAAATCACAGGATTCAAAATTACAAACTGCCCACAAGGGGTTAAAGATATCTTTGGACAAGGAAGATATTTTGGGTGCTCTGTGGAACCCACAAATTGTACCAGAATCCCCAGCAGTCAGCTATGGGTATAAGTATTCTTCCTCAGTTTTTGTTTTTTTTTTCCCCCTCTGAGTTTGCAAATACCAGATAAAAATGGATTCCAGAACAATGGAAATTTGAGATGAGAAATGGTTACAGCAGATTTGGCCAGGCCTCCTCCTAGGATGGCCCCAGTCCTTCTGGGACGTGTTCTGACAACTCGTTGGCCTCTTTCTAAGCCTCTGAAAAGGGGGTGATGTTCCTGCCGCTTCCCTTGGAAGAACGTTGCACGGTGAAATATGACTCACTGTCAGGGCCCTGGCCTTCGAGATTCCCTTTCTTCTCCTGACCCACTTTCGTCTTGCTGCGCCCTTTTGTACAAAGTCAAATGAGGCCTCCCCTGGAGGAGGCTGCTCTGCGAGGACTGACATTTAAAGACCATTACCACCTCTTCAACTCGGCCCTGTTCATTTAGCCAAGCAAAGCATGTTTAATTCTTTTAATCTTCTCTCGTAAATCAATCTCTTCGTTCCCTTAATAGTCCTTCGCCTATGCTTTGAACTCCCTCCAGTCTGGTCATCCTAAGCTCTTGTTCCGTTTACACTTGAGAATTGCCAGTCAATCGAGAAGCGGCTGTACAGGAAAAACAGCCGGATCCTCGCCAGGGTTCTGGAAGTTCTCAGCACACTGGGCTGTCTGCCGCCCCAGGCACCATGAGCCCCAGAAAAGCCCTGCCTGGAGGCCGAGCCCCACGGCCTTAATGCAGACTTGAGGCGTCTGCTGTGCACCCCGTCATGGGTCTGTCCATGGCCCTGGCCATGTCAGTGGGAATGGTCAAGGGAGTTGCACAAGAATCCTGCTCAGATACCTGTCCCGCTCCTTTCCATCAGCCTCCACGGTACAGCCACCTTGCACCTGGCATCTACCTACTAGAGTGATGGAGGACCCTGGGTAAGCCCAGAAGTGTTCTTACCTGGAAGGTCCCAGCATGGTCTTCCTCCTTATCACCCTCTCTGTTCTCTTTGAGGGCGATTAATGTGAATCCTCTGAAATAGGAGGGAGGGGCAGCTGAAAGCGTCACTGCAGAGATAAGAAGAAAGCAGATGATAAGCACAAGAATCAGCTGTCTTTCACTTGTCAAATGGATAAATGTGAGCCCCCATCAGCATCCCAGACCTGCTGCAGGGGCAGGTAATGGTGGGAAAGGCTCATTTTGTAGAGTGATGAACTTTCACCCTTGCCCCCCAGCCCCCTCTCTCATTTCAGAATCTGCAAAAACACCTGAACTGTGATCTCACTTGGGAATTGTTGAATCAAACAAGCCTGAGATGAACGCTCTTAGTAACCACAATTTGATAAAAATAGTACATGGTCAGCAACTTGTCTTGACAGTTACCTAATGTTATATACTTCCATAGATTGGCCCAAGAGAGACTCATGTGCTTGCAGCATAAACTCCTATCAGTTCAGTTCAGTCACTCAGTTGTGTCTGACTCTTTGCGACCCCATGGACTATAGCCCACCAGGCTCCTCTGTCCATGGGGTTCTCCAGGCACAAATACTGGAGTGGGACAATACCATGCCCTCCTCCAGGGGATCCTCCTGACCAAGGGGTTGAGCCAGCATCTCCTGCATCCTTACAACATCACAGGCAGACATTTTTTACCACTGAGCCACCGGGAAAGCCCTGACAAGTGTTGCATGACACAGTAAATCAGAAAATGGAGATGGAATGTTAGGTGCAAGTTTAATAAGGTTATCTGGGGAAAATCTCCCCAAGTAGGTGATACTTGAGGGAAGACGGAAAAGGTGGAGCAAGTAAGGAGTGACATAGCTGATGAAGGCCCTTCTAGAACCTTCCGGAAACCTTCGATCGGCCCAAGGATTTCAGGACCGCCTCCTTGACCTCCTTGTTCCGCAGGCTGTAAATGAGAGGGTTCAGCATCGGGCTCACCGCCGTGTAGAGCACGGACACCACCTNCTCTGGTTCCTCTGCCTTTTCTAAAACCAGCTTGAACATCTGGAAGTTCATGGTTCACATATTGTTGAAGCCTGGCTTGGAGAATTTAGAGCATTACTTTACTAGCATGTGAGATGAGTGCAATTGTGTGGTAGTTTGAACATTCTTTGGCATTGTCTTTCTTTGGGATTGGAATGAAAACTTAGGATGTGGCAAAACACATCTATTTCTTGTGGGCACTCAGCTGGAACATATTCCCAGCCTCCCTTGCAGTTTGGTCTGCTTGTGTCCCAGTTCTGCTGGTGGAAAACCTGGACAGACAGGATGAATGCCTGTTCCTGCCTGGCGCCTCCAAATTTTCTACATGATTCTCCATCCTTCCTCTCCCAGCTCTGCCTGCTGCATGCAGGGGAATCCAGCGGAGGACCCTGATGCCCCAGGAGAAGGATTGGAGCCACAAGATGGAAGGAACCTAGGTTTCTCAATAACCACAAAGATTGGCTACTAATGTCTATAAAAGTTCAGATAGAAAGAAAGGAAGGAAGAAAGGATGAGAAACAAAAACATAATGAAGTAGAGAAGAGCAAGAAATGTGGGGTGCTAAGCAATGGCACCCAGAAACTGATGACTTTAATGTCAAGAGGAAGAACTGAGTCTCTGAGGGATAGACAGATAGCCCCACAGTAGTCTGATGTTATCTAGGTTGGGGTGGGGGGCCTTCAAAGCCAACCTACACACTTCCGGGGGAAGGGGAGCAGAGAGTAAGAGGCAGCCATTAAAGGGGCTGTGCCCAGATCACCTCACATTCCTTTGGGCCATGGCACAAAGGCCCTGGTACATGGCCCTGGTACTGACGAGCCTTTGCTTCCAGAGGCTGGCACCTGCGGCTCGTTCCTGAAGGAGCAGACTCAGGTCACTGGAGTCTCTCTGCCTAACACGAAGGGCCCACCTCCTCAGGTGACGATTCTGAGGACCTGGCACCTCTAAATGGCCCTGCAGGGTCAGAGCTCACCTGGGCTCATGGCCTGCTGAGGTTTCTTCCTGCTCTGTCCCAGGTCCCTAACCGCCCTATTGGCTTCCCCTGGGAGTACTTCCTTTAAGAGTCACCTGCACCCCAATCCTCCCCCGAGGGTTTGTTCTGGGCTAAATTGTGTCCTCCTAAAATGTATGTTAAAATCCTAACCCCAGGTTCCTGGAAATGTGACCTTTTTTGGAAATAGGGTCTTTGCAGATGTAATTATTTAAGATGAGATCATAATACTGGATTAAGGTGGCCCTAAGTACAACTGCGAAGAGTTGACTCATTGGAAAAGACCCTGATGCTGGGAGGGATTGGGGGCAGGAGGAGAAGGGGGCGACAGAGGATGAGATGGCTAAACTCCGGGAGTTGGTGATGGACAGTGAAGCCTGGCGTGCTGCGATTCATGGGGTCGCAAAGAGTCAGACACGACTGAGCTACTGAACTGAACTGAAGTCCAAGTGCATTGGTCCCCAAGCCCCTATGGCCAATGTCCTTAGACAAAGAGGCACAGAAACACACAGGCAAGAATGCCAGGTGATGACAGCAGCAGAGATGGGAGCGAGGCACCTGCAGGTCAATGAATGGCAAGGACTGCCACCGAGGCTAGGAGAGGCGTGGAAGGAACTCCGTGGAGCCTCCAAAGGGAAACAACTCTGACATCTTGAGTTCAGACTTTTTGCCTTGAGAATTGTGAGCAAATACATTTCTGTTGTTTTAAGCTACCGGTTTATGGTACTAAACATGGGAGCCCTAAGAAATGAATAATATCTGCTTCTGAGGAACCCAACCTAAGCTAGACACTCAGTCTCTGCTGCACAGTCAGTAACTTCAGGCTACAGCTCAAACTCCATAGACTGACGAGCCCACAGATTCTGCCTCTCCAGGAAGCTTCATCAACCACATTTCCATTCCCTGCTACACCACATTTCAGTCCTGGGACTCTCTCACTGGCAGTTTCCTGAAAACCCGTATCATTTCATCCTACAGTACAATTTTTTTCCACTTGGTTATTCATACACCTGGAATGTTCCACCTCCTTCATTCCTGGAAAACATTTTTAGAAATCAGCTAAATTTTCATCTTTTCTGCAATGTTTCCTTTGACTGCCCAATCAAGACCTGGGTGCTCTTTTTCCTTGGACCTTGTTAAAATTCCAGACATGGAACAACGGACTGGTTTCAAATTGGGAAAGGAGTACCTCAAGGCTGTATATTGTTACCCTGCTTATTTAACTTATATGCAGAGTACATCAGGTGAAAGGCCGGGCTGGATGAAGCATAAGCTGGAATAAAGATCACCAAGGAGAAATATCAATAACCTCAGATATGTAAATGACACCACCCTTATGGCAGAAAGTGAAGAGAAACTGGAGTCTCTTGATGAAAGTGAAAGAGGGAAGTGAAAAAGTTGGCTTAAAACTCAGCATTCAAAAGACAAACATCATGGCATCTGGTCCCATCACTTCATAGCAAATAGAAGGGGAAATAATGGAAACAGTGACAGACTTTATTTTCTTGGGCTCCAAAATCACTGCAGATGGTGACTGCAGCCATGAAATTAAAAGATGCTTGCTCCTTGGAAGAAAAGCTATGACCAACCTAGATAGCATACTAAAAAGCAGAGACATTACTTTGCTGACAAAGGTCCACATAGTCAAAGCTATGGTTTTTCCAGTTGTCAATGTGGATGTGAGAGTTGGACTACAAAGAAAGCTGAGCACTGAAGAATTGATGCTTTTGAACTGTGGTGTTGGAGACTCTTGAGAGTCCCTTGGACTGCAAAGAGATCAAACCAGTCAATCCTAAAGGAAATCAACCCTGAATATTCATTGGCAGGACTGATGCTGAAGCTGAAGCTTCAATACTTTGGCCACCTGATGCAAAGAAGTGACTCATCTGAAAAGACCCTGATGCTGGGGAAGATTGAGGGCAGGAGGAGAAGGGGGCAGCAGAGGATGAGATGGTTGGATGGCATCACTGACTCAATGGACATGAGTTTGAGCAGGCTCCAGGAGTTGGTGATGGACAGGGAAGCCTGGTGTGCTACGGTCCATGGGGTCGCAAAGAGTCGGACACGACTGAGCTACTGAACTGACTGATACAGTGAGCCTAATGACAGTGTTTACCTCAACATATCAATGTGAAGCATAAATAATGCATGAAAGTCCTTAAAACCATTGTTGGCAGGTAACAGTAAATATTAGCTATTATTATCAGTGATGAGATGATCATGTTAAATATTTTGTGCGCAAGTATTTGTTTACCTATTTGTAAGTCCTTCAAAGGTAAGAATCACATCTTAGCCCGGCACAGTGAATAGCAGAGTTGGTATGTAATTCTATTTACTGAATGATATTCATGGACTGGTGGATTCAGTGTTGTAAAGATGTCAATTCTTCTCAAATTGATTTATAAATTTGGTGCAACTTACATTAAAATCACAGCATGATTTTGTGATATTGACAAGCTGATTCTAAAATTTTTATGTGCAGAGGGCCAAGAATATATAAGGCAGCTTGGAGAAATAAAGGCAAAGTTGGATGACTAATACTACCAGGTATTGAGGCAATGCAGCTATAGAAATTAAGCCTGTGTACTATAGCAGGGAAAGAAAAATAGGCCAATTGAATAGTTTGAGGTCCAGATAAAATTCCACAAATATGTATAAACTTGATTTATGATTAAGGGTGTACTACAGAGCAGTGAGGGAAAGAAGATATTTTCAGTGACAATTAGGAAACATTCAGACATGAGGGAGCAACTAACACAACAGGATAATGGTGCATAAAAAGGTGAATCTTGGTCTTTACCTCACATCATACACAAAATTTCACATAGATTGTAGAGCTAAATGTGAAAAGTGAAACAATAATATTTTGGAAAGTAGCATAAGATAAAACATGAATGATCTTGGCATGGGAAAGTTTTTTTTTTTAATAGAACATTGAAAAATACTGATGATAAAGAAGATGTGTAAATGGAATGATAACAATGTCTTTTGATAAACAAAATTTTGATAAGAAAATGTAAGCTATGGTGTGAAAGGAGATATTGGCAATACATTTAACCAGAAACTTTTATCCAAAATGTATAAAGAACT